ACCAATCATATACCAATCATAATCAGTCCTACTTGTTGTTGAAGCCCCAAGTTATTGGAATTTTGTGGTTTGAATATCATTTCCCGTCATATCCAAACAAGATAAACAAGATAAACAAGTTACATTACATCATGTGAAAATTCCAGTTCTTGGCTGGTTAAACCTGCGCCTGCATCTGTGCAATTGAATTCACGGTTTTGCCGGCAAAGCTGCAAGACGATCCTATACTAGACGTGTTTGACTTATCATAGTTTAGCATCATGTTTGCCTGGAAAATCATTTTTTCCAACGCAGGGTGTGCAAATTTGGGCCTCCTAAAATATGCTGACTCACTATTAGTCAACTTAGTATACCCCAATCCACATGTTCATCCGAATCCTCAGGGGTTTCCGAAAAGTCATGGGGGTGCCTCCCACAGGCTGCGGGCGCTCGACGACTCTCCAGCCTGGATGACTGGCCGGGCACTAGAAGTTGGGATCTGCCGCTGGGGTTCGGGGGCCCAGATGGCCATGACATGTCACAGATGGTGGCTGCACATGTATGGGAGGAAACTGGGAAAATGGCAGATTTCAGTGACTTTTTTCGGAATTATAGATGGGAATTGTTTTTTCCCCACCTGCCAGGTGAGGGTTGTTAGATTTTATCAGAGTTGTTCTTCTCCTCCTCGGCTAGCTGTCCTCCTCCTCCTCCTCCGCCTCCTCCTCCAGTTTCTCCTCGACACCCCGACCATGTCTGCATCAACTTCCACCTGCACTTCCGCCTTGCCAACTCTTCGCCAAGCTCTTTGCCAACTCTCTTCGCCAAGCTCTTTGCCAACTTCCCAGCTCAGTGTGCACCGCTGGACCTCAACCTGGGACCTTCCCAGCTCAGTGTGCACCGCTGGACCTCAACCTTCCCAGCTCAGTGTGCACCGCTGGACCTCAACGGCCAGATAGAATGCCAGAAGACATGCCAGATAGAATGTCAGATAGAATGCCAGACGATATGCCAGATAAAATGCCATGAGATATGCCAGATAGAATGCCAGATAGAATGCCAGATAGAATGCCAGATAGAATGCCAGAAGATATGTCAGAATATATGCCAGAAGATATGCCGGATAGAATGCCAGATAGAATGCCAGATAGAATGCCAGATAGAATGCCAGAAGATATGTCAGATAGAATGCCAGAAGATTTGCCAGTAAGAAAATCTATAAATGTCATGGTGGGGATCACACGAAGTAAAGTAATTTGTTTTTATAGGGAACATTTCCATGATATTGTAAGTGGCAGATTTTCTCATTGACCCAATTACAATGAAAAATAAAGTCTGATTCCATATAATTCCCATATAATTTCCATACAATTCCCATTGTAATTGGCAGGCAATTATGGGAATTATATGGAACTGTGATGATTTGCCCGATGACATGGGACTCTAAGCTGGTCAAGAAGGCTGTGAAACATGCTGAAAACATGGGGATGGACGTGGCAACATTCAATCTCTTTTTTTTTGCAGCAACAACGCTTGATATTATTTCACAACGTTGAAGTATTTGATATTATTTCTTTGCCAGCATTGAGGATTGTATCCCTTTGTGGTCCATGAGTGTTATGTCATGTGACAAATCGAGGAGTGTGGATCGTATTTCCATGTTGGAACCGGCATCCATACCTGGCAAAATGGTAAAAACATGGTAAAACCAATGATACACCCGATCTCATCATGGCCGGCATAGATGATACATATTACATCATATTGCCATCCAATTACATCCAATTACATCCAATTACATCCAATTACATCCAATTACCCTACCATCTGGTGATTTAACTATGGAAAATCCATTGTAAATGGAGGTTTTACATGGTTTTACTGGGAAAATAATCTATTTCTATGGGCCATGGCTTCCAGTTCGCTATGTTAAATAACCAGATGGTACTAAACGGCATTGGGTTCACCATCATATCGGCCATGCAACAGGAACCGAAAAAAAATGGAGGTACCTACCAGACAATTCTTTTTTTGTTAGGGCTACGTAAGGGAATATGCCCACAATTCAGCCTTTTTATGGTACAGTACCCCCATCTGTTGGATCCTGGAGATCTCCCATTGATCATCGGTCGAAAAATCACCAGTGGACCAGGTCGATGCTCCACATGCCCATGTTCGAGTGGCGAGATCGCGAGAGTGAACTGCGGCGGGAGCAGAAGGGCGAATCCTGTCGCATCCACGGCTACTTCGACGTCAACAGGCGACAGGATTCACTGGGTTTCACTGGGTTGGACACGCCTGGAATCTCCAAGGGCCATTTGGATGGTTGCAACATTTATTTGTTCTCCAAATTTTGATCCTATGTTTAGAAAAGAAATATACCTCTGGCATTTAGGTGCTTTGCTTCATTTGGTCTGCTTATAGTTGGGTAGCAATATGTTTTACATTCCTTGTATTTTGTATCAGTATTGACTTATTACACACACCTGTCATGGCGACCGGACTTGATTTCAAACCACAACTGGTCCTGCAAGGGGGATCAAACCAAAAGAGTCTACAAGGAGAATTGATTGATCTGATCAACACAACATAGCATATACTATCTATAGGGCTCACAAGTCGCCCTCAGATGACGGTTGGGATTGGTGAATTTAAAAAAATAGCAATGTTTTCTATTTTGGAAATCATTCTGACTTGTACTCTCTGGTAGTCAAACATGGCAATGGACAATCTACCGTTTATAGATGATATTCCCAGCTACAAACTTCCAGTTACAGGGATTTTCCAGCCATGTTTCATTACCTGAGGGTACATTCATCCACAAGTTTCTCTATTCCCCTGGTCTCAGAGGTTCAAGCCAAATGCTAAGAGGAGTAGAGCCGATATCGCCGATACCTCACCAGTAGGTTGAGGTCAGTTGAGGTCTCCAGGTGGAGTAGTGGCTATGATAATGTTGAGGTATCACCCTTGATGCTAGGTATATCATGCCAGTACATCTGGAATCATCTGGAGAACTATGTATCTACTCCCAAACATGGATGGGTAAATACTAAGATTATCTAAACTTGCGACGAATTTTGAACCAACCCTCCTTCCAGGCTGGTGTCCCGAAAAAAACAGCCCACGGCGCCATGGCCCATGCCTGCCAGGGTTCCTGGCAATTTCCACATCGGCACGCACGGTGCGATGGTGCCCTCCTACCTCTCCTTCTACGACGAACCCTCGCCACCGCAGCAGAACATGAGGCGCCTTGGAGAAGGTCACCAGGGTTTCCCTACCTGGTGGTTGGGTATGTAATGTACCAACAAATATGGCGATTTCAGAGGTTTTCATTATCGGAGAATTGGGATTTTTCGAAAATGAGACATGTGGGTAAACCTTGGTGCCAAAAAATGGGGAGAATTGTGAAGAATTGTGAACTTCCCCGCCATATGTTGGTGGTTTCAACCGTACAACACACCTGGGTAAGGGCCTCATCAGGCTGAACTTTGCCAGCGGCCAACCCTGTAAATGCCATCGGCAGTCACTATAATGCACAATATAATGAAGAACCGACATGTTTTGTGTTTGAAACTGATATGTTTCTAGTTTCGTTGCTGTTTCAATTGGATTTTGAGCCATAGCAATTCTTCATTGGCATTTCATATGGTTCCACCATGTTTCACCAGTTCTACCTGGAATTTTCTCCACTAAAATCGTAAAGTCGTGGGATTTTCGTAACTTTCGTACCTGGTTCATCGGTGATCCGTTGGAAAGCCAGGCATACCATCAACTCCCTGGCTTTCGTGGACGTTGGTTCCCCGGGCAGTGGCATGTCTCGGCCCTTGGACGGTCACTGGGACAGGTCCAGCGCGGTGCCGGCACCATCTCCAACTGGTCAGATATCTCATAGATGTCCCATGATATCCCATGATATTTATGGTGTTTTAGATGGGTGGTAAAAAAAAAACATTTGGGATATTTATGGTGTCGGAGGTTGAAATATAAAAATAACTGAAAAATCAGTGGGATGATGGATATGGGGAATAAACCACCCATAGATTGGGTATGATCATTCTGGGTAAATTATGGTTAATAAGGGAAATCATCCCCAAATGGCCTTAATTCAGGTTGGTGAAATATTATCATTTACCCAGATCATTGATGATCATCATCTCATTAAAAAATGCTATCGATGTGTGGGAGAAAAAAAACCTGTTGGTATAGTTGTTGATGTCATTGAGTTCATCACGTTCACACCAAATGACATCAATGGCTGGGAAAAAGGCGCCAACCATCCTGGCGACGATGGAAAAAAAAGGGGGCTACTCACCCAACTGTTCTCCCCGGTGTGATCCTCTTTTGCCACCATCTTTAGGATTTTGAGTTGTGAAGTGTACCCTCTGGTAATTTAACATAGCCATGGAAAAACACAATTTTTAATGGGAAAATCCACTATAAATGGCCATTTTCCATGGCTATGTTGAATAGCCAGAGGGTATTGATGAATGGTTTTGTTGGTGGTCCAGCGTTCATTTCTTCATTCCCTATTTGTGGTTTGAAAAAAAACCTTTGTGCACACAGGGACGCCGTCCAAGAATCGATTTTAGACACAATAAACCACACGACACCTACACAGTGGAGTGAAAGACTTTGGTTTTGATGTGTAGTGATGCTGAAGCGGATAGTTTTTCCCATATTTCAAGGCTGGGATGAGTTCTCAGCCTGGGGATAGTCACAATTCTGTTGTACAGTATCATGTTCTATCTATATACTTCACAATTGATATCCCGCCATCCCAAGACTGAGGATAACTGTCTCAAATTCCATGTGCCCTAGGACGGGTGAGAAGTTCAGAAACTTCCCTTCAAATCAACCCTGTGACTTGTGGAATATGAGGTTTCAAGAGCCCTCAAGCCTTCACTTTCCAGTGCCTTGGTCTGCGTTTTGAAGCAGAGAGAAACCACTGGATGTGCTCGTTGGGGAAGAAACAACAATTACGCATACGTTACGCCTGGTAAAAGGATTCAGCTAGACTGCCAGACTATGCCAGACTGAGTTTGGATTGTTTGATCATTATTCTTTGATCTCATCAATTTTTGAATCAAGTAATCAATGTTTGGATCCTCATTGATCTACCAGAGTTCAATCCTCCGCTGTTACATTTGCGTGGGTCGAAACCAAAGGCCATGCTACAGTTCGGTCAGTCTAGTACTATAGATTACTATTACTATATACTATTACTCTATACTATTATTATAGATTACTATAGCTATTACTATAGCTATTACTATAGCTATTACTATAGCTATTACTATAGATTACTATAGCTATTACTATAGCTATTACTATAGATTACTATAGCTATTACTATAGCTATTACTATAGCTACTACTATAGCTATTACTTTAGATTACTATAGCCATTACTATAGCTATTACTATAGATTACTATAGCTGTTACTATAGCTATTACTATAGCTATTACTATAGCTATTACTATAGCTATTACTATAGATTACTATAGCTATTACTATAGATTACTATAGCTATTGCTATAGCTATTATTATAGCTATTACTATAGCTATGTAGTACGTAGTTTTGACCCATACCCACAAGTAGACCTGCTTAATCTTGCGTTGCTCAGATCTCCTGAAGAGCAACTGGATGTTCCATGATTTGGTCGTGGTTCAATCATTGACTTTCCCCCTCAAATGTGGTTCACAGTTTTTTTTTCTGTATTATTGTAGTGGAGACTCCGCATTTCTAATATTTTCTAATCATTGGGTCAATTTCTATCCCATTTTTTGAGTCTCCAAGCTGAATTGGGTATATCTCTGTAGGCTGCCAAGAGGCTTTTCAATCAATGGCTTTTCAATCAATCCCAGTGACAGGTTGATCATTTTTGTCTCCAGGATGTCCGTGAAATCTCCCGATCCAAAGGGGATCGCCCCAGCAACTGTCAGCAACTGTCAGCAACTCATCCAGGTATTATTTGATGATCACCCCAGTGACCCGAAAAACGGCGGTGCCTTGTGCTGAAGTGCGGGAGAAATGGGGGAGTTGTAGGCTTACAACATCTTACAAGTGAAGCTTTTTGTTGGCAGAGTTTTGAATGTCTCAGTCAATTGATCGTTCTAAGTTTAAGGTGCTTTCTTGACATGTTGTCGTTCAAAATGGAATGACATGGATCTATGATTCACTCGGACGATCTGAACCACGGTGCCACAGTGCGGCATCCTGTCATAAGAAGCCGCCCGAAATTTTCGACGATGAGTAGTGGTGATAGTCCATGTTGGGTATCAATGATACTCAATGGGAGGATAAACGAGTTAATTCCAGAAAACATCATCTCAATTTTACCGTTAATGGGTTGGATAAACCATGATAAACCATCCACAGCTTGCGTAAACTATCCCCATCTATCCCCTATTAGTGGAGGTTTATAGCTGGCTTTATCACATTCGTAGGTGCGATGAGATTTTGTATATCATCTATGAGGGAAACACTCTTCAAACACCGGCACGGCTTCAGATCCAGTTTGTGACAAAAGTACTTGTGGCAAGCCGTAAAATTCAGATCAAGACAGATCAACGATAGATATAAATTTCCCATATATTTTATAAACATGTTCCATAATTAGTTCTATTTTTATTTTTTAAAACATACCTATATATATATGTTTTTAATGTCTTCATCATCAACTTTCCCATGTTAAGTTCACCTTGGGGAAAACTTCCCCCTTTGTTTTCCCGGCAACCCGGCTGAGGCGGCCGATGACTACGGCTACCGTTTTTCGGCGAGTTCCTTCGTGACCAACGAACTCATTGGCCCCGCGGTCTTCTTTCGGATGGAGATCGATCCCATTCGGGTCACGAACTACACCGAGACGGTGCCAAAAACCGTTTCGGCCATCGGCCCAAAAGGGGTGGACAATCTACGGGAAATCCCATGAAATCCCCAAAGTCAATGGGAAAATATGGGAAAAACATCAGGAAAATATGGCAGAATCACCAACAATGGGGGTTTAGAGCTGGGAGATTGAACTAAATGGGGGAGTTCCAATTGTCAAAGGATTTTTAAGTCTTTAAAGTCAGAGAAACATTCACATCAGTCAGAAGTCAGGCGGATCATATTTGATGTTTAGATATGAAACAGAGGCATCACAGTTGTTTTTAGATACTGTGATTATATAGTACTCCGCAAGTCGAATCAATCAAGAGTGAGGAATAAGAAGCCGTGTACCTTAACAGGTACTGGATCTGGCATATACCTCCTTACTAAGCAGTGGCCGAATCATATTTTTTTACATCTAGAACTTCACCTCCATAGGTTTCAGACAACGGTCCATCTTCTTCCCCCAAGAAATCTGCAGGCTGGTAGAGCTCTAACTGTGCCATCTCTTCCTGTGCCCCCGCCCCAAGTGGGTCATGAGAGGTGCCATGGAGCAAATTTCTGGTGAACCTTTGTGCAGTGGTGGGTGGATGCTTTGCGATGCTCGGAGGCGATGAGGTTTTGAGAATCAGATCCGTGAAATCCGATCCAAACGAGGGAGGTCGTTCGTCACGGTTAGTAACGGTTGGTAACGGTTAGAACTAACGGTGAGATCCTCGTTTTGGACGGCTCAGTTTGAACTTAGAATTTGTTTGTGCCAAATGTCATTTTTGGTGACTTATCTTACCAAAAACGGCTGGAAAATCCAGGAATATCCATCGCATTCCTCGAAGGTGTCACCCACCGTTCCGCTAAAAGACCGGTGAACCACCGAAAGGTTTAACGCCTGCCAAGGATGAGCAACATGCTGCTGAAAATCGTCGATGCCATCCTGGAATAAGCGACAACAAAAAGTGACAACCACGGATGGTGATGTCGTGGTCGATATCGAATACCCAAGGGATACGAAAATAACAAAATGACATACTTTATAATCTTGTATATTAGTTGATCATCATTGATTGTGTAACAGTGTAACACATCCTTTTTAGGGTCAGGAACTTGACCCATCTGTTGAAGGTATACTCATCGCCAGCAAAAGTTGAGCAGAGTCCTTTGGAACATGACCCGGTCCAATACAAAACACCTGGTTCTAATCCAATTGCTACAATGAATTAAAAACCTAGCGGTTCCCAAATCTTGGAAACCCCAAACAAGTGAGATATGGGAACTTCCAAGCAACAGAATAGATGTTTCCCATTCTCGTAAGTTTCCAAGCTGTTTCCCACCCAAAAACAGCCACGAACCGCGCTGTCGATCTGCAGCCACGAGTCCCAAAAAACATTTGACGATCGCGCCCGGCGAGGTGGGTGGCTCCAGCGGCAATACCCGGTACCCCTGGAAAAATGGGATGATGCATAGATATCGGATAATAGATATTAATGGTAAGAAATATGAATATCAATGACCAAACTCTATGAAATCTGTCCCCTGAGGCCCTGAGTCAGTTTTGATCCAGCTATCTAAGGATATATGTTCTTTTTTTTTTTCGAGGAACAAGTTTAAGTTGCGAAAAAAAAATCATGCGGAAATTCAAACTTGGGTACCCTTATCGTAGACTTAAAATCGCATGGGACATGCAATAAATGACACATTTGTCGGGTTTGGCACCTGCAGTTTTTGGCTGGTACTTTAATAGAAGAGAACGCCTGCTCTACATCAGGGTTTGTCTAAAAGCTGGTACCCCCCAATCCACTGTTTTATCATCAATGATCCACTGGTTAGTCATTAATTTGCTATCAATCTGCTATCAATCTGCTATCAATTTGCCATAAGAAATTGCTAACATGGTGGTATAGACCACTTTCAGACAGACCCATCCAGAGTGTAAAAAGCCATGGATTTTCGCGATGGACATCTATCATCTGGGTGGCGAAGCTGATAGATCTGATAGGGGGCTTCTCATCCAACATCGCACATGATATCGAAGGGTAAATCATCTTCAAATTATGTGATGTTACCACTTACCAGCAATTATTTTCATTGTTAGCAACCTTAAGATTCTGTGATCTTACTGATCTTAGTGATGTTTTTTTGATTACAATTTTGAATATTTGATGGTTATGTAGTCTTAAATGTTGCAGCGATTTCATGTTTGTCTGACCAGGCAGCAATCAGCCATGCTGTGGTTGGCGATACCCGTCGGGTGGGGAGTCTCAGGTTAGTGGTCTGGTTGACGTGCGAACTGCGGGAAGCTGTGTGCTTATTGACATATCAACAGTTGGGGAGTACATCCAGCAATGGTAGGGATTTGTTACCAACAAATTTGCATTCACTGATATTGTCAAATGCAATTTTTCATAACCTCCTGTGCTGTTGAATTGAGCTGCGCTGTTTGTTGAATACCATTTAAGTAGTGGATTGTCGCTTTTTTTTTGAGGTTTTCATCCCCATAATTATACATCCAATGGGGAATGGCTGTTTCCCCAGATATCCCATTGGGAATGACCTGTTTTCCATTGACGAAACCAATATATTTAAGCCGGAATCCAATGAGAATATGTTGTGAATTTGTGAGACTATTTATAATAATCATCAAGTCATCAAGTTTTCGTGTCATGGTTTTTCATGGCATCATTGGATATTTAAGATCATCTAATATTTGAATATCTAATATATCTACCCTCTGGTAAACATACAAAAAACTATGGAAAAATCCACAATTTTCAATGGGCAATCCACTATTTCTATGGTCATTTTCAATAGCAAACTGTTAGTCATTACCGTGGTGATGACCATCCAGTATCTGAAACAAATAGAGCCCAGGCTCTACTTCTTCCGTGAGCGTATCGCCACCACCCTGGCTGCGCTGCCGGCGCGGAAGTGTCCTGGCGCTAAAAATTGGAGACTTTTAGGGGATGGTTGTGATGGTTAACAAGTTTTTTTTGATGGTGGTAGATCAATAGATCAACCTTTTTTGGGCTATGTGTTTCTAGGGGAAGCACTGGGATGCTTTTGTTGATGGCTATGGCTTTTTCAAAAATATGTTCACTGGTAAAATTGTGGACAAATAACAGACCATGTTCTTTTTGTGGCTGCATCGTCCGTTGGATCTGACGTCCAAAAAGGATCAAAAACAGACAACACTATGTGATTGATGACCTTGAGAAAAGACATCAACCATGGGTCAAAAGTGATCCAAATCAAACCCCTTGAGTCGATGGTTCCCAACAAAATCACGCACCGGCAAGGTCATTTTATCCAAAAAAGATGTCATCTCAAGGAAAGGTTTGGTTGGGTTCTTGTTCATCCATAAGCTACATTAGTAACTAAGCATTAGTACATTCAACATCATTCAACATATTTTTATCATAAAGACATGAAGTCAGTGATTCTCTATATTTGCCTATAATTACTGGTGTTCCACCAGAAATTCCACCAGAAATGGGGCCACACATGGAACCGCAGGACTGTGGTGCAGGGGCACTTGATCACCTTGGTGCTTGGATTGTGGGGCCCCTGGCCTCGTGATTTTGCTGGTGATTTTGCTGATAGAAAGGCCCCTTTCTTGAGACATCCCCCAATATTAATAGGATAATAGGATAATAGGTATGTGTTAATGTGTCCCAATTAAAGTGCCGCTTTGGGTTGTAGATCCCCTATGTTGATGCATGAACACACACACACACACGCACATATATATATATATATATATTACAGTTACATATGTGATAACTAGACCTATATATTTATGTCCCCACGATTCATGGCCATATTGTTTGATATCTCACCGTTCGCCGAGGCTGTACATCCTGCCGGTGGAGTTCGTTGGCTTGGGCGTGCGGCACTTGGGACATCGACCTTTGGACAGGACAAAAAGTACCTCTGATGGGTCAAAAAACACTGGATATGGCCAATCATAACCCATATTTTGGAGGAAACCATATGTGGGTCTGGGATTGATGAACAACTGGTATTGAGAAGCATTTTTTGAGCCATATTTAGCCATATTTAGCCAGATCAGCTTTAACAATGGATGTTAAGTTCAAATCTTAGCCCATAGGATCCATGGTGCACCATTAATCTAGCAGCACCATGGATCCGTCATGGGATATGGCTTGGTCCTACTATGGATTCGTCGACATCCCAACTTGGACCATTCTGGCAACATACCAAGGTCTTGAAGCGGCCGGCGTATTTGGGTAGGCGCCCGCGACCGGAGAGCGCCAGCGGGATCCACCGGGCGCCCTTCAAAAAAAGGGACATGGCAAAAAAATGCAAAAAATGCATTGATTGTCAACTACCATCTGGTTATGACTAACAGTTTGCCATGGACCATTGAAAAACCATGGCTATGTTAGTCATAGCCAGAGGGTAATTGAGGTATTTCCATGGATCATGGATTCATCATGGATTCATCAGATCCATAATCCTAAATGAAGTCGTGTCATTGTTCAGATGGAATCTGAAAAGCAAGATAGAGCTGGGTTGATTGGCCCAGAACCTGGCAAAGAGTTTCTTTTCCACAGTGGAAGTAACAACTTAACAACTTAATTACGGCTTTCGAGATTAGCCCACTTGCACCACTAGAACCTGGAAGCTTAGTGGAATATTGCCATGTTCAATGACAGGAACAATTCAGAGACTTCAATGATTAATCCACAGGGATTCTATGATAAGTATACCCCCTGTAGGGGTTATTTTACCATGCTTATATCCTCAGTTCATGCCGTTTTCACCGCAGCAATCGCCCAGCCTTTGGTGCAACATCTTCACGTTGCTCTACACCTTAAAGTCCAACTATGGTGCACCACCCCTGCCGCAGGCACAAGCGGGCAGAAACGGCTGGGTGAGAAACTTCTAGTAATTTTAAAATGATGTCAAATGAATAGGACCCAGGGACCTAGGATATCTTGATATATCTTGGAAGTTTCGAGTGGTGAACAAAAAAAGAATTATGGTAGTCATGGTTCATTGAGTATTCCCAGCATTGTTGATTATGCCATGATTATGCTGGTAAATATGGTTAGATTGAAATATTCTCAGCAGTGCTGCTTCATCTCACCACATGCTCCGCGCCAGATCAGTGGCTTTTCCATGTCCAATTGGCGACAGACCGGCCAGGCCTGACCTGACTGCAGATTTTGGCCATGTTTTGGCAATTGATTCGCCTTCCGTTGCTTTCCCCGATTCCGAATCTGGCATCACAGCACTTCTGCACTTTGGCATACTTTGGCCACTTTCATAAATTTGGGTCCAGACACAAGGGCTTTTGACTCACCAAGATCAAGATGTCACAGATCACAGCCATTTGGGGGGAAATCCAATCTTTTTGCCCTGCTGCAGTAGTTCGGGAATCTGGCTCGACATGGAACAACCCAAAATGGACATGTTCCTTGGTTCAGTCACAAAGTTCATTAATTTCATTTTGATGAATCTGCGGTACCTCCAATGTAGGGGATTTCTGTCAGGCTGCCCTTCAGCAGCTGGCTCCATGGCTTCAAAAGGCGACGATTTCTCCAAGTCTCATGTATAGTAATCCCCCAAAAAAGATAGATAAATAGAATCCTACCAAGATAGTGATGATCAGTGACAATTGAAAAGCGGTGTGATGTTATTCACCAAGATAGTGATGAATATTTACTTTTTCCATTTTTTCTTTTTGGGTTACGACATTTCATTGTGTTGCCAGCCATTTCGCATCCACGTTTCGATGGGTAGCAAAATGAGACGACAGGCCATGAGCGGCGTCGACTTCCACTGGTTGTTCTTCGTGTCGCTGGACGATGATGTGGTTCCTGAGGATCACTTTAAAGGAGATCCAGTCATGGAGGTTTCCATAGTCATGGGGCATACCTCAATAGCTGGATGGTTTATATGAGTTTATAATAATAGTTTAGTGATGTTTAGTGGATATATATGTTTATAGTTTATATATGTTTATATGCTATTATAGAGGTTTCCATAAATGGTGGATACCCCAATAGCTGGATGGTTTATAATGGAACATCCATCTATAAATGGATGATTTGTGGTTTTAGGAAACCTGGAAATTGGGTACCCCAGGTCTAAAATAGCAATTTTGTGGTATAAACCATCCATCCATCCCATGATTGGGGTATTAATGTATTAATATCCCAGGCTATCCTATGGGATGGTTTCCACTCGATCCACAGATGTTTCAACCAATCCCACTATATTCTCATGGGTATTATTTTTTTTTAATGCCAAGAGTTTCTTGGGAAAAGCCACAGATTTTCTGCTGAGATCGAGATCCGAGGCTCATTTGGATTGCTGCTTACCCCTCCGTGTGGGCCGTGGTCATCATAGGACGACGCTCCCTCTGGTCCGGCACCGAGGAAGTAGACATGGAGACATGGTGCTGGTGTTGTGGCTGGAGAAACACAACTGGTTGGTGATGAATGGTGGTTAATGGTGGTTAATGGTGGTTAATAGTGGTTAATAGTGGTTAATTGTGGTTAATAATGGTTAATGAGATATCTGGTTGGTGGTTGGGAACATGGCTGGATGATTTTCCATTTCATATATTAGGGATACATTAGGGATAATTGATCCTTCCTATTGACGAACTCCATCATTTTTCAAGATGGTGAAATTGCACCACCAAGATGGTAATTACTGTACATCTAGACGTTGGTGTGCTCTGGACAGATGGTTTGAGCTCGTTGAAACGTAGATGTTTGCAGGATATTTGTAAGGTCTGGGTTGGAAACCATGCAGATATATTTTGGCATTTTCTGGTGGTGATGGGAATACGGACACTATGGCATAGAGATGGATGGGAGAGATTTGCTGTAGAGGGAGATACCTTCGGGTTCAGAAACATTGCAATGTAAGATCTTCACTTGTAGATGAATTATAATGATTTGACGAATGATTTCATGGGGTTATACATGAAACAAATGGTTGTTTCCCCATTTGGGAGTGAATAATCCCTACATACCAAATGGTCAGCACCGGAGTTTCTCCACCATGGCTATTTCTGCTTGTTTGCTAGGCAAAAATCCACCAGCCAATCTGTCGCCAGTTTTGGCTGAACAGCAAGTAGCAAAAGATGTGCATAATCTCCACAACCAATCCCACTGCATTTGCGAGTCCAACATTAAAGAACCGAGTAGTGTAGAAATGTGCGGAAGAGAAAAACAAAACAGTGGGTCTTGATCCACCAAAATGGGATAACCAAGAATGCCGGAAACAAGAAATCAATCATACAGTAACATACAGTTAGAACTAACCAATGAAAATTGGTTCACCAATCGCCATTTTTCAAGCGCGGATTTTCCATCAGGTAATCGTTGGTTCACATCATTCGCCACACCGCGTTCTGCGTGATATTTTTGTGGATCCGGCGAATCATGGATTTCGACGATCTGGACGGGTTGAGGGTTGCCCAAACCAGGGCAAGGATTTGAATATTTTGAATCCAAGGGAGTTATTTTAAGAACATGGCCAACATGGTGTTAATTTGAATCCAAGGACTTAGCAGGTCGTTTTTCAAAACATCAACCTGCTCAAAATTGGAGAATTTGACTTTCTGTGAAGCAAATTTTTAGTCATTTTGATATCTGTTGATCCCACAAAATCGGAGCCTCATCCTCAGCTCAGCATCTGTAGCCAGGACCAAGAGGAGGAGGTGGTGAAGGCGGTGGAAGACGAGCGGAAGGCGCTAGAGGAGGAGAAGAAAGCGGCCGAGAAGGCGCCCTTGCGCCCTTTGAAATGGGGGAAAGCTGGTATTTTTCCAGAATTTTCATTGGAAATGTCGGAATGGTGGTTGGTAAATGTTATAGTAACTGGTTAATAAAAGATAAATCAAATGTTGATTGGAAATGTCCCTGGTTCATATTTTGTTCATACTCCACTGACCCATTTGCCAACTGCTTTGCAGTTTTACCAACCATTTATTCTCCATTTCTTAACCATCTGCTAATTGCAATAAACCAACATAAACCAACCATTGATCATTTATTAATCATTTACGAGCCATTTTCCCACTATTTCTCAACAATTGATCAAGGTGATCAACCATTAACCAGCTATGCACCACGAGGCCGCCATCGCTGCGGCCAGAAAGGAGGCGCCCCGGAAATCCCCTGAAGTCAATGGAGGTTTTAATGGGAAAATCATGGGAACATGTTCTATGAATGGCGGTTTAGTGTGGGAAAATCATATAAAAAAGGATGTTCCAGTGCCGTGTTTGATGGCTGGAGGGCCATCTGCAAAAATGATCAGAAATTGGTATGCAATGCTATATAACCCACAAGGTTAAGTTGGTATATTAAGTGAAATCATATGCAAATGGTCCAAATGGTAGATAAAATACGGGAAACTCTGATGTAATCAACTGTGGTAGCTTTTGGGATGAACAATCTTGAGATTATAAAGGCATTCTTCACCCTGAACGCCTACAGCAAGCCCGGTGGGATCCCCAAACTCTCCGATCTTCGCATCCTGCGAGGCCGTTCAAAAGATCGCCGCCGAGCGCGACCAAGCGCCCGCGCCAACGCCAGCGCCGGCGCCGGCGCAAAATGGCACCAACGGCACCAACGGTGTTCATGTGGAGGACCCGAGGGATCAGAAAGTTGGGGATATCACTGATATCACCAGGAGAAATTGTTATGTCCTGGGAAAGTTGAGGATATCACAATGAAAAATGCTGTAGCCTGAGGAATCCTAAGCAGCTGACTGGAAACAAGACAAAGAAAATAAAAATTGTCTCGAATCCCCACAAAACCTTGGAGTTTCGAAGAGTGAAGAATGAATTCGGATTGATGTTCCATGCTCTGCCCGTGGGGGTAGATAATCCTCTCTAAACCCAGATGATTTGTACCGGATATGAGGATACTTCCACAATCACCAACTCGTGTAGTAGGACTTTTGGATACTTTTGGTTTGGTTCTATTCCCCAGAGGTTTGGCTCAAAATCTGGTACGCCCGAAAGAATGCATAGTGCCAAAACGCCCAGCTCGTTCATGGTCCATGCAGGGACAATGTGTGACCCAACGTGTGACCCATGCGAATTCTTGTTGCATACAACACAATATGTCAATACATTTGATCAATTCTCATGTTTAAAGCTTTAGCAGTTGATTGTTTTTGTTTCAATCCCAATTTTTGGTAGCATCATACAAGTCTATGGTTTTGAATCCACGATACAAATCCCAGGGCATCCTCAAAGGTCAGCCGTCAGCCCGCAGGAGGAAGAGCTTTGGGAGGTGATTGGTGGAGCTCCTTGGCAGTTCGGGATCGTTGCATAGTTTCATGGAGATTGAATTGAACGATGTTTTTCTCATGATTTATCACTTTGCCACCAAATTTGATGGATATATGATATATGATATATGACACTAAGTTCATTTTGATTTCTTGGTATGACCCAGTTTTGGCCGACGCAACGACTTCAGGTCGACAAGGGCGGCATCATGGTCCGTGAAGGCGCAACTTCCTGCCGTGGGTTCAGCCTGTTGAAGTTCAATATGGAACCAGGCCCTGGAATATATTACATTAAGTTTTGAAGTGAAAACAAATTACAAAATCACTTTTCTTCAAAAACACTTGCCGTTTTTGAGATTTCGAGGGTCCCACAAAAATCCCAAGAGGGTCTTTATACCATCCATCCATGATTTTTCACCATTTTGCCAGGCTTTCCACGGATTTCTGCGCAGGTGAAAGCACCACCTCGACTCAGAAGAGCGATCGCCTGTCGACGGGCGCCCTGGTGGAACAGCTGGCACTGAAGGGAGATCGGTTGCACTACAAATTGAGGCGCGGAAGGGGAGAAATGGGGGATGGGGAAGATAGGGTTACTGTGAGTTATGATGGGTTATAGTGGAACTTATGATGGGTTATAGTGGATAATTACAATGAACTATTGTCAACTATGTCCAATCCAATTTGTTTTGGAATTTACTTAAATCCCATATTGATTTTCCATGTTTTTGGGTGGGAAAATTCGAGTGCTGGTGGCTCCAGAGTGAGGAGAATGATGATTTGCTGCAATACGACCAAAGTGATGCTGCGGCAGCGACCATTGCAGTTCTTTGTTTCTAACTTTTTAAGGATGGTTTAGATCACCTTCAGGTCAGAAAGTTTCACACTTTTTGAGGCTTATTTCACCTGATGTCATGTTATGTTTCAGGTAGAGAGCAGTCTAACAAAGACTTCCATGATCCAGAAAGAAGAAAGAAGAAAGATGTCATGTTGATCTGGTTGGTGGTTTGGAACCTGTTTTATTTTCCATTTCATATATGGGATGTCATCCTTCCCATTGACGAAGTCCATCATTTTTCAAGATGGTGAAATTGCACCACCAAGCAGTAATTGTTACCCTTCAAATCAGTCAGGAGGCTTCAACCCTGATTCAATCCTGCCCCGCTGAGATCACGCAGGAAAGGTACGGGTCCCGAAGAGGGCTGGGTCAGCATCAAGTTGACTGGGAAAGATCTGGTGGTGCCCTGGGTGGAAATGGGAGAGCTGCTTGGATTCCGCTGAGGGTGGCAGCTGGGAATAGTCTGATATTTGTTTTAAGAACCACCCCAAAAAAGGTGGGAAGAGAAGATGATTGTTGAGTGTCGATACGAAATCGGTGGATTAAGAACAAACTTGAAGCATTGAAGCTTCCTTGGGAAGAATGGGCCCATGGCCAAAGGGTTGGCAGCATCAACTGAAATTTGCGTTGGCGGGAGGGCACAACCCCTTGAACTCCAGCTTCTGGAAGACCTCCACAGGTAGGTGGGGTAACTTTTGATGATGTCGCCATTGGATAAGCGATGAATCATCCCGCACGACCTATGTCACCTTTGCAAATCCCTTGGGAAGTGCCCGAATCATCCAATTTTCAGTGATGACATCCATTTGTTACTTACACTGTCACGCCCTCTCTTCGTTTTTTTGCTGGTTTGTTGAGTAAAAACAAGCTACAGTGTGAGAAGAATAGATAAACCACACCATCCAATTGTTTTGTGATGATTAGTATATGGATGCAGACTTTAACTTACTATCAATGTAGTATCTTACACTTGAGTGTTATATAAGTTATTATATCAACACCTTTCTATGGCTGATATCAACACTCTCACTGACGTTGGCCCAAGGAATGGACCGAAAAGGCGACCCCCGGCCTGGAAAGTGGTGAAGCAACCCCAGCACCTTGGGTCTCAGGTTCGGGGATAGGGGATGATGTCAGTTCAGTCATGGCTCAACAGATAGCCTCCGCTTATAAGGATTAATGGAATGATGATGTCCCATCCGTTTAGTCATGGCTTGTGATTGATGAGATGATGTTGTTTCAACATGCTGTTCCACCAAAGGTGGGGAACTGAAAACATGTTATCATGTTCCTGTGGTGGTTGGTGCATGCTGTTTGCTTTCCAGTGTGGTCATCAGGTCCCTCAGGTCCACCACACCACATCCAACATCATTTAACAACCATAGATGTTGTTGGCAAGCTGCACAGGCCAATATACCAATCTTGGTCGGGCCAGGGTTTGCTTGACCTAGGATCGAATTTGGTCAGATGAAAGAGGTCGCCAGCAAGAACGATCCTGGGGACTACTATGGCATCAAGTTTCCTTACACCAAGGATTTCTGGGATCTTTTTTTTGTTGAAACACTTGCAGGTTGGTTGCCAAAAATTGCTGGTTCCAGATTTCCACGAAATCCAGCAATTCTCATGGCTTAAGTGGTTGCTATCCAGGAACTAAACCCAGGAAATCAATGGAATCCCAGCAACTCCAGGACATGATCGTTGAGATGGGTCCCGAGTGGCTGACTCAGGTGCTGCCAGGGGGGCCACATGGGGGGTTCGGGTCAGCTGTGGATTTTGATGGGAAAGCAATGTGACAAACATATTGGAATCACTCCATTGATCGGTGGTATATCCAACTATATCCAACTATATCCACTATATCCCCGATGTTCTTTGACACAAACCCATTTTGCATCGCAGGCCTTCCACAAGAGTGGCGTCCTGCCGCGCGACAATGCCGTGACCAAGATCTCGGCCCCGTGGCGATGGGGTCGGTGGGGTCAGTGGGGTCAGTGGCAGGTGCTGGCAGCTGCTACGGCTTGGGGGTTACGTCATTGGAAACCCCTAAAATTGGACGGTTTCATCTATACCCATAGGATCCATGTATGGTATATATGGTAACATGGATCCCATCAATATACCCCCTTTATGTTAGTATATATATATACCAGCACCATAGATCCGTCATGGGATAGGTTTGATAGGTTAATCATGAAGAAAATCCTGCTGGTGGAGCCATTGGTAGCTATGGACAATCATGGACACTTTTGATCGAGATTCAAAGACCCTTCGACATTGTCAACATCGTGTCAATGTGCCGGACCTTTGACACTTCCCCCAAATTGTGATTTTCTTGGCCGCCTAGCCAAGGTCACACACAAGTGGTTGTAGTTGGAATCACACTCGATCTCATCACGAAACATCAACCGTCGATTGGATTGTGCGCACATATTTCTTATTTCTTTTGGGGAACTATTTAGCTTCAAACAGCATCTGCCTACTGGTCATTTATCCCTTTTTGTTTGTAGTTTAAACTCCAACCTTGATGTGTAAAGTCTTGTAAGAAATTCTCAATTACCCATTCATGTTGCCAGTTTCTAGGGCTTATGTGGGGATGGGTCAAAATCCTGTGTTCATCCCCCTAAAAATGCTATTTTCATAGGTATTGACAATAGGTATTGACCCAACCCCATGTATCCCCTAATTTTCATGTGCCCTAGGTGCCCTAGAAACATGTGAAGTCCTGGCATTGGAATCACCGTTGGAATCTGTCGGCCCGAGGATGCGAAAGAGTTCATTGGGGGTGGTGCTGGACTGAAGTGCACCTTCACAGTGGCTCCAACTGCGCGTGGGGGGGCTAGAATCTGCTAGATTCATGATATAATTATGATATATATATATAATGATTTATTATGATATAATTATGATATAATTATGATATAATTATGATATAATTATGATATAATTATTTATGATATATTATGATATCATGGTTTTACAGTGAAATATGGACGTTTCCCTACTTTGGTGGGATGTTTAATTGGATATATGATATATGCTATAACGGGACGGGCATATAAGCAACAAAGATGACAGGGTCCCATGGAAATCCCTGTGGAAATCCCTGTGATTTGCCACGAATGTGTTAACCCATCGGACTCATCAGGCGGGGAGGTAACCAACAGAACTTGGGGCTGAAGCGACTAGTCAGGGCAACCCATCTAGATAATTTTGAGCAACTGAAGACATTTGGGGCTGAAGCTCCACACTCATATTTGAAGGGAATGGATTTCTGCTAGGTGATCAAAGGATGATCAAAGGAATGTTTGATCATCTTCCGAATCGGTGAGTTCGATCCACACTGAGGTGGAGTACAAGAAGGACGAGCCGTACTTACACAAGACACTTGGGTACTGAACGGGAATCCTCAAACTTTCATGCGGCAGGTGAGTATAAACCAGGCTGGCTTGCTATGCCAAGCTGATGAGCTTGGATCGATGAGCCAATTTTTTGGCATTCCCAATTCCTCATCAAACCAGGATTCCAGAAAGCTGTAAACCACAAATCATGAACCTTTTTCCAGTTATTTGTTCCATTTTTTCCACCGGTTTGGTGGTGGAAACTGGTTGGCTCAGGAAACTCTTCTGCAAACTTCCGCACAAACCGGGCACCTCGGACCGCTACTTCGTGTCCTGCATGTGGAACCACGACAGGCGCGGCGGCTGAAGGTCCTGCCGTGAAGCTTGGCAACTGTGCGTTGAGAAGTTGTTTAACGGTTAAACGGTTCAATCAAAATCAAATGGATTCAAATGCAACTTATTGATTTGATTCAACACATATTTGAATATTAACTATCCCCAAAGAATCCCGACTATTTGATTTCATTCTACATGTTTGTGTAATCAGAATGGACGATGTATACTGACGAGTCCATGTACCATCATGTACCAACGAACACAGCCTGAAAACGCACATTTACATCAATTTACATCAATTTACATCAATTTACATGGATCAGGCATAGCCAGGTCTGACGTTCTCATCCAGGCCTGAGATCGTCTTCAACATCTACCTCCAGGACTCAGCAGTGCCTGAATCGCGGCTGGGCGGCGGAACCGGCCTTTGTTGGTATGCCATGTATGTCATGTATGTAGTGGGGGTTCTCACTTAACCGTTAACCTGTAGCACCCTGGTTGAAGCAGAATGAAACAGAATACCTGGTACATCCTTGTACGATATACATCATATACAATGATATACAATACAAAAGTTGAACACGCCAGCGGAGTGGCAGTTGGGGCGCCGAAGTCCGCAGGAGAGTGTTTCCTTTCGGGTGCCCAAGTTCTACTTCGGAGCTACTTGGCATGTTTACCCGGTTTACCTCTAGATGATGAAGGATCTTTATTGGCAGGAAATTGACTGGACGCCAAATTTCAGGTCCATGAAGTAGATGTTCCACTGCCCCTTCCCAAGTGGGAAGTCGCAAAAATCCCATGTTTGGCTGACCTTAAACATTAAGGTCTGACACTATAACAATAGCAACATTATTGCAACATGATCTTGGTATCCATTCCATCTTGAACCACCTACATAAATTCTTATCACCCCAGCTTTACTTTGTCACCTTGTGTCCCGTGTTTGGATACATCCAAGACGACCAAAAGTTTGGTCCTTTCTCGTTGGACGGATCTCCGCCGTCAGGATATCTCCGCAGCGACCACCAACTTTGTGCTGATCACCGAGAGCATTCCATGGGCGGAGACAGGGAAGAAAGACTTCAGCCCGGGAGAAATCGAACCTGCTTACGACAAGTACAAGGACACTGTTGGGGAAAGATCTGGGAACTGGGAATTAGGTCAAGAAAAAAACTATACCTTAGGATGTTTGGAAAACTAGATCCTATCTGGTTGAGAATTTCAGCTGCAGAGGATATTGCTAATGCGGCAGCACAGTCTGTTGAGGCTATGTAGTACCAGCTGAAGGGATCGCAGTCGACTCCTACTCCTCAGACTGGAAGCAGCTGATGGTGACTCCACGATAAATCGATCATGTAATTACCCATAGGATCCATGTATGGTATATATATATATATTAACATTGGGGGTATATTGATGGTAAATGCTACCATATATAGCATACATGGATCCTATGGGTTATTCTATATTATTCTTATAGTTGGAGCTGATGTTGAAGTTTTTTTTCACCACTACTTGAAGGGGACAACGAGATTTGACACTCCAAATTTACCTCTAGCACGTTCGGCTGTAGCCAATCACAGATGGCCAGATGCATGAGAGCGACTGCTATGTATTCTTCCCGTTGCCTGGAACTATTTGATGACTTCGAACACTTCCACATTCCACTATTTAATCTATGGGCTGATTGTTCAGATTTGTTTCAGCCACCCGCAAAGACTATTCCTTGAGTCCAAAAAACCACCAAACACGTTTGGTTCGCTGTATGTTTCTCTTGTCTATGCTCAGTCGTCCATTTGTCAGGACTGGGAATTGCCAGATGGCGGCCCAATGTCACTTGCCAATGAGTTCTCTTGATTTGAGAGATGTCCACCTCCTTTTGTTGCAGGGCAAACCTTCAGATGTGGAGAATCGGTTTGGGAAAATAGGGGGACTGTTTGGGGTCACACCTATAGTGTCGCGGTTGCGAGATCTATGCGATGAGATCACCAATCGTTGCTTTGATCGGCGACAGGAACTGATTGCAGCGGTACTTCCAATGATTGCAGCACAGTTCTGGTGATGTCAACTTCAGCTATCGATAGATTTTATGATTCACTGACCCAAGCACTCACTTGTATACTTCTGCTTCAAGAGGTTTACTTGGCAGCTCATTTGAGCATGGGTTTGACCGGTTTGACCCAAGATATTGGGTGCTTGGAGACTCTGGTATAACAAGATGGCTCAGCGCCCAGGTATTACTTGGCGTGCTGCCGCGCATTGGGTAAGATGGCTGGCTATCACAAGCAGAAGCGGCTGCACAAGAGTGTGGATGACACTGTGACTGCACGCCTCAGGGATGGTTCCGGGTATGTCAAATAAACGGCGCCTTGAAACGCCCATTGTCCTATGATAGTATGATGTGATAGTACTCTGGGGATCGAAAAGAATGGCGTAAATCATGATGGCTGTAGTGTGACCAACCGGTAGTGCCAAAGCCATCGGCATTCGACGTGGATCACTTGGGTTTTCCCAGATTTTGGACTCCTGAAAATCCACAACAAGTATTAGCCTGTGGTAAAAAAACATAGCTGGCTATGCAACTCCAATTTGCATTAGAAGGACCCTGTGCAAATGGACATCAATGGAGGATCTTCCCCTGATATGATGCGTTTTTTTAACGCAGGAAACGCCTGTTTGCTGACGTCATGTATAGGTATACGGTATATACTCGGAACACATTTTCCTATTCCCGCGACTGACAGACCTTTGCTGCACATTTGGGGATTCTTTCATTGTTGTTCCATATTACTTTTTCCTTCTTGTCCCCTACGTCTGTTGACAGAACAGGATACAACAGGTCTATGTTTCTCAAGAACCAACAATAACCATATCATCATCAGTTGTTTTTTTTTTTTTACGTACACCACTTTACACCACCTTACATCATTATTTCAATGAGAATTCCAGGATCCACCTTACATAGGCCTTATATACGGTAGGTACCTCCAATTTAGGATCCTGAAATTCCCATATTGATCATATATATGTTTTTTTCCCCAAAAGCACTTTCCACCTACCCCATCCCACCCCCATCCCATCCTCCCGATCCCAGGAGATGTTTCCCATGCCGGATCCCATGCCCCGGGAGCTGCCGAAGACGCTGCCGGCACTGGATCCCTTGGCGAAGAAGCAGAACCTGGCGAAGGTGGACCAGTGGCCCGGCCGGACCCGCCCGGGATGGGGATGGGGATGAGATATGGCAACACCACGGGAAGTGAAATGAAGCAAAATTAGGTAATTAAATGTTATAGATTAAATGTAAGATATGGGATTGGAACATGCAGTATAAGAATCAATTGAATTGGTGGTAGAATGGATATATATATATATATTATATATATATAGTTGATGGAATATTCAATGGGGAATATTCAATGGGATGTGAATGTAAGATTGGTTAATACCCTTCGGCGTCATCAAACATCGCTTGGAAATTTCTGCGCTTGGAAATTTCTGCGCTAATTTCAAACTACATGTTTTGTTTTGATAATTGATCACCGGAGGTATGTGGCTAACCCCAACCATACATGGAAGATTTGCTAAGATTTTAAGTTACAAATATGTTGTAATATGTTGTGATATTTTGGAATACCCTAGTTTGATCTATTTTGGGAGAAATCCATTTAGGGAGGTCGTGTAATTTACGTATACTCCAAATGAATCCAAAAACTCGAGGGGTGAGATGAGAGGTCGTAGTCGAATCAAACTACTATATGACTTCTTGACCGTATATAGAAAGGTATGGATAAACCAGCAAGCAAGATTCAGCAAGCACGGCGATTATACATGGGTGAAGCTAGGGTTCAGTCGGAAGGCTCACACAAAGGGAAACATAATTATACTATTTAGTTTCTAATGAAAATCAACAGCTTTTGGTGGGCTCGGCATGCAAAACCCTGGTGTTTACTGTTATATCCTCATCTTTGGTGAGTAGTGGTTCTCAACCCGTAGCTTTCTTTGTATGATCAGCAATTCGTTGCTTTCTAAGGGGCACCCAAGCTACCACATTGCGCCACATCAAATCTGACAACTCTGTTCACGGAAGATGGTTTTCAGACTATTTTCAGTTGTATCATCATGATGTCATGGTGACAGCAAAGGTCTCTTTTCTCCTTTTCACAGCTTCGCAACACATGATTATAGAAATCTGAGTGGTGCTTTCGTAATCTTGTTTATTTTCTATCCCAGCTGGAAAGGGATGATGTTCCCCATTGACTCTCATGTTTTCTTACCTTGGAATAGTTGGCTGAACCACTGAGTAAAATCCATAGGTTTTTTTTGCGTTTGATGTGAAGTGCAGTGCTGCTTGACCCCTTGAGGTTCGTTCGCTTTGTTTCTCGGCCTACCAGGGCAAGCAGAAATTGGGAACTGGGTTGCGGGAGAAATATCGGACGTACCAGGACGCATTGATGCTTGCAATAGAATCCGGTATACAGTCTTCGGACAGACATGTGCGGGAAGAAATGAACACATTGATATGTCTGATATGTTGCAGGCAATACTTGTACAACTGGCAGACAGTCTCAAGCTCAAAAGGATCAATTGAAGTTTGCGAGTTCAAAAGACATTCAGTAAATCACAGACATTAATGATTATTGTCCAGAGTTTTAGGCTCCAGCGGCCAGTAAATAGTGTGGCACATTGATTCAGCTGGCCTTGCAGTAGATAGGATATTACTGTTGTTTCAGGTGCGTCTTCGATTGAGTTTCTCATAGACCCTCCGTAGAAAAGCTGGGAAAGTTTACTTCTAGTCTCCAGTTGCAGGTAGAAAACACCACAAATTCCAAAATGTAGGCTTCCCATGCCATGGCGACTGGTGACACCAGTGACCCGAGCCGCTTCTTTGGCAGTGCGACATACTTTGAAGGTCATCAACGTTTGGAGGCAACAGGCTACAGCTACGAAAATGCTTTGATCATCAAACATGAGCAGACAGGAATAAAAATGTGGGCGTGCGCCTTTGACTTGCGCGAGGATTCGGAACACAAAGGTCTACGTGATGGTGACAAAGTTCTCTATCACTACACAGATGAGGCATCCTTTTTCCCAATCACAAGCCTCAAAGGTGCCAGGATCTGGGCGAACCCGGATGTAAACAACAAGGATAGTTTCTTCGGTTTGGGTGTCTATGCTACTGAGAAAGCGCCTCACCAATGGAGATCAAAAGATGAAGTCCGTCTCAACAATTTCTACCCAACTCGCGAGAACTTTCTGACGTTCAGCGGCCAAGAGCTGCCGGAGGCTGAGGATGCCGATTTTGAAGCCCTCCTTAAAGGCACTGTTGGAAACTATGTCAAGCAGCATTACCCAGGCAAGACGGACTACTGCATTCCCTTGATCGTGGATCAGCAGGTGTCCAAAAATGCAATGAAAGAAGTTACCGATGGCCCCTTGATGAGAAACCGTTCCTTTCATCTCGATCCTTAGCATTTTTACATTTCTAGGCTTTCTGAACAGTTTCCCACCTGAAGAAGTGTGTGATATGTTGTGAGAGCCTACGGCTTCCCTCTTCCAAGGTAAAAAAAGGCTCGCTGGATACAACTCCAAAGGTGAGAAACAGCCAACTTGGCGGGATGTTTGGGTCGTCTCAATCTACAACCAGACTCGAGAAACTTGATCAGATTCCGTAGTTTCTGTTTTTCATGACGAATCGTTCCACCAAAAGTACCCGCGTTCCCACAGTGGTTTGGGCTAGAGTTCTTCATCCTTCATCTTCAACCCTTTCGTGCACGGCTCTACTGAGGACATTGTAATTGAGGTTGAAGATGCCAAGCTGAACTCCCCCAGCATCATCCAGATCCTCGGGCAGCGCCTCAAGAAGCTTTGACAGCAATATATTTATTTGATATAACTTTATTCAAGAACACACCATTGACGCAAAATGGGTGCCCAGAAGATGTTATATTCATATGTTGTTCATGTTCACGCCAAACATGCATGTCGCTGCTGCAGGAAGCCAGGCAGCATTTCCGAGGTAAAATCCACAATCATTTATCATTGGCCCAGTGTAGTGTAGGAAATCGAGCGCGCAGAAAGCCACGCTCCAAATTGAACTAGTTTTAGGAAAAGTCTGTTCAATTCCACAACAAAATGTCTCAGAGTCGAACAACATGGTTTTAGTTGTCGCTGTAAAATTTCGACAAGTTTGCTGCCACTGGTTGTTTGCCAGCCTACCACCGGGTCGCCGCCTGCCTGCTGTACAATACATCGCTACTTCTTTTGGTGTGGGCTTAGTACTCCGAAAATGAAAAGCAAAACACTCTGAACATCATCCTCATGAACAAAAAGCATGGCTGTGTGTGGTCATGTGCATGGTTGGGTGAACAGGGTGGTTGATGCCAACATGGCACTATAGAATGTCGTTCCAGGGCCAACATATAAATTGCCAAAATTTAAATCCTGGTGCCAGTATGTTCAATACAAGAGCTTTGACGTGTTTAGCGGCTGGCCTCACAACATTAATATGTGACTCACAACATTACGTGGCTCGCTTTTGGACTCTATCTATTGCAAAACGGGGCCCCCGTTTTCGCACAATCGAAATAAACTTGCCGCACCATCACACAATAATTGCTGAACCTGTTTTCTTCACATGTCAAAATCTGTGATTGGATGGCCATTTGTTGCAATTGCACGAAATTGCATGAAGAACTGTAAGTCATTCAGGAAGTTTCGAACCAGTGCCGAGGTTGATTGGTGGTTTGTACATTGGAATGTGCATAGATATGTAGACGTAAGTGGCTTGTGACGGGAAATCCCGAAACCGAGGAGGGAAAGAAGGAAGGGCTCTGCAATTGATAGTTGTGAGATCTTGATAGACACACTGAAAGGCCGGCGGTTGGAGCTTCCCCTGAAATGTTATTTCGTGATCACCAGCGATGAGATTTTCAACCTTGAAAAAGGCTACACATTCTTGTTTGTTGAATGATGCTTTGGGCTAAAAATATCTATTTCGTATGACATTGAAGATTTTCGCATGGGCTGGCGGCTGCAGGCCCCCGTTTGTACTGACTGCACCGGCACTGCGAACATGGCAATCCTCACATTTTCTCATGTTTTTCAACTTCGTTTTACCTTGTTCAAGACCATTCAATCCCTCTTGGGTCCCACGTCCCCTGAAAAATAGATATCCCAATGCAAGGAGTCAACTCACCCCCTAAACGCTCGGCTCAGCTGAGGAGCGACCGTGACGTTCAGAATTTGGTCAAGTACAATCTGTTCGACTACAAGCACCTTTGCAGAGACCTCCTTCAAAGAGTCATAGAACATGATCCTGCAGATTCACATGCGTTTCACAACCTGGGCACTCTGCTGTCGGCCGACGAGGTGATCCAGGTGCAGCTGCAAGGTGGATCCAGGGAGTTTACCCAGAAAGATCTATTCTTGGAGTCCATCAGGCTGGACAACGGCTATGCACTTGCATACTACAACCTGGGCTTTTTGCTGTCGGCCGACGAGGTGATCCAGGTGCAGCTGCAAGGTGGATCCAGGGAGTTTACCAAGAAAGGTCTGTACTTGGACTCCATCAGGCTGGACAACGGCCATACACGTGCATACTTCAACCTGGGCACTCTGCTGTCGGCCGACGAGGTGATCCAGGTGCAGCTGCAAGGTGGATCCAGGGAGTTTACCCAGAAAGATCTATTCTTGGAGTCCATCAGGCTGGACAACGGCTATGCACTTGCATACTACAACCTGGGCTTTTTGCTGTCGGCCGACGAGGTGATCCAGGTGCAGCTGCAAGGTGGATCCCAGGGAGTTTACCAAGAAAGATCTGTACTTGGAGTGCCATCAGGCTGGACAACGGCGATGCACTTGCATACTACAACCTGGGCACTCTGCTGTCGGCCGACGAGGTGATCCAGGTGCAGCTGCAAGGTGGATCCAGGGAGTTTACCAAGAAAGATCTGTACTTGGAGTCCATCAGGCTGGACAACGGCTATGCATATGCATACAATTACCTGGGCACTCTGCTGTCGGCCGACGAGGTGATCCAGGTGCAGCTGCAAGGTGGACCCAGGGAGTTTACCAAGAAAGATCTGTACTTGGAGTCCATCAGGCTGGACAACGGCAATGCAAGTGCATACAACAACCTGGGCATTCTGCTGTCTGCCGACGAGGTGATCCAGGTGCGGCTGCAAGGTGGACCCAGGGAGTTCACAAGGAAAGATCTATACTTGGAGTCCATCAGGCTGGACAACGGCAATGCACTTGCATACTGCAACCTGGGTGCTGTGCTGTCGGCCGACGAGGTGATCCAGGTGCAGCTGCAAGGTGGATCCAGGGAGTTTTCCGAGAGAGATCTGTACTTGGAGTCCATCAGGCTGGACAACGGCTGTGCACTTGCATACTTCAACCTGGGCACTCTGCTGTCGGCCGACGAGGTGATCCAGGTGGAGCTGCAAGGTGGGTTTCGAGAGTTTACCAAGCAGGAGCTCCTATTATAGTGTGCCTGACCTGATCAGACTTGAGAATGCGGTAGCAAAACTCAAATGATGCACTCGTATTTGCTTTTGATGGCTGAAGATCAACCCTTGACTTCAGAGGAAAGTGACCACAAATGCACAATGATCTTCGCATGCACATTGCTTTTCGCTGAAAAAGATGTCACATGGGGCATGGGAGCGTCAATAAAGGACTTCAGCGGGAAACCGCGAAATTTGGTTTGTTGATACAGTAATTTGTTTTAAACTTACCATTCATTAGCTAGCACGGTCTGTGGGTCCCAATTGCATGGTCACTTTGATCCCGGATGTCACTGTGTGGAATGCCCTGCGTTCCTGGACGTGGAAAATCCGCATAAATTACCTTTGCTCCAGGGTGCATCCAAGAAACCTGATGCAAAGCAAACCTGCTGCTTGATTGTTCGAAGGATTAATTCTTGTCCACCTTATTTGGGCTCCAAATTGACGAGCATACCAGTGATTGCTGGGATGGTTTATTGTTGGGCACCAGTACTTGAAGTGTCCCGAAATGATTCCCAGATTTCCCCTTGAAACATGCGAAACAGCCATCAAATCAATACCAAACCAACTTTAAATATCATGTCCACCATCTTTCACCATTCCACTCCAATCTTGAAACCCTGTTGATTTTCCATGATTTTCCCATGAATTCACAAACACAATTCTGATATTTCCGTATGTTTCACTCTTTTCCCGTGGTTTTCCCTATCACTTCAGCCCCTTCCCCGAGGTGGGCGAGACGGCCAAGGCGGTGATGCCGGACGAGATCACGGAGCCGCGCTTCCTGCAGGACTGGAAACAGGAGATCCTCGAAGTGGCCGAAGCTTGATGTAAACATCGTTGGTGGGGGCATGTGGGGGCTTAGGTGGGGATTGGGGGGGGCATGTGGGGGCTTAGACCGGGGATAGGGTGGGATGGGGATGGGGATGGATTTTATATTATTTGATCAACCAGATATGGCATAGATTAGTGGATCACCAATATTGGGATTTATCATGATCTCCCCAACATTTGGATTTATGTTATGATTTATGATTTGTCATGATCATTATGAAGAGCAATGAACCTCGATGATATGGTCATGATAGGGGTATGGTTGGATGGGGATGGTCTTGGATGGCTTTAAAATGCTTTAAATATGTGGATTTGTTTTTTTCGCCACCTATGTATTGAGGGTTCAAAAGGTGGGTTTCACCGTTTCACCCAAGGACAACAAAGATGAGAGCAATGAACCAACGAAAACAATGATTCAACCAGCAGATATCAGGAGTGAACGAAGATGAAAGAAACCCACAAGCGCTTTGATGTAGATGAGATAGGCAATCATGATGCATCACTAAGAGGTTGGCAGTGGTATGGACTGGGCAGCGTTTACCATCAACCTGTTTCAGGGCAGAAATCTAAACATGGCTTGATGTAGGCAGCAAACCTGAGGGACTTTATCAACGTCGAAAAACATACCATCATTGTCAATATCCATCAACCATGAGCAGGAACTTAAGCAACCGAACTGGTGCAAAAACAGGGATTGTCTGGGATGTGGAATCCCATGAATCCCATGCCGCGCCCAGCTGTTTCACTGCTAGGAATATGCCAATGAACTTGGATGTGCCTTGGTGATGGTCGACATGGTAGTAACTGATTTTATGGGAAGTGTGAATGAATATGGATCTGATAAATCAAAAACATGGGGCACCCTGCTTTTAGAATCTGTTCAATGCTTTTAACCAATCAGTAGGCTCAATCAGATGACAAAGGCCACATTGGGCCATGGTAAAGATGATCTGTTCAGTCTGCAAACCCAGATTGGTACATCCCAGAAACTGGTTCATCTATGCGGAAGAAAAACCAATCATATTGTTAAATCTAGCCAGCCCAGTAATTTATGGAGGTTTCCTAATATGGGGATACCCCCAAAGCATCCCAAAACTGTTACTTGTCAATGGGAAAACCTATGGCTTTGGGGTGCCCATAGTTTAGGAAACCTCCGTATGGCTTCTGATTTTCTGAACAACTGATTCCAAAACCCTGGTTGTCCAAACAAAAAGAATGTCCTAAAGTCCATTGGTTTAAAACCGCCTTGTCCGTATTAGTTGATGAGAACCCATCAAACACCCATCAAACCCAGACTTGTTATTGATTGGTAAGTTCCCTATTTATCCCTATTTTGATGGTAGGATCCCATAAATTTGTTCAGTAAATCCACCATGTGTCCAGACGGGCCAAAAAATAGGTGAGTTGGTTACTCCCCATTGGTCATGGTGAACGACCATATCCCCATTATCTGCATTGTGTAACAATAACATAATTACAAATGCATTATGTTTGATAAATTTGGAATGTAATTTGCATGTTATTATGATATATTATGATAATATCTGATGGATACATTCCAATGTTAATCATGTTTCATAAACTCCCCATGGGTGGCCGGTGAAACCCATTGGTGCCTAGAAAGATTCCGAATCACCCAGCTATGATTTCTAGACTATGCCTGGTCAATCCCCATCGAAAAAAATACATGTGTTGATTCTTCATCCCGATTATCCCCAATCTCCATGATATAATAGTGATAGTGGTGAAATCCCATATAATCAGATGAATAATCCCATGAAGTTTCGGGATAGTATTATCCCTTGCATCTCATGATGCTTCAATGCCCCATGATTTTTTTGGCAGAAATCACCATCGAGGTTTCCTCTCGGGAGGCGGCTCCGAGTCGCCGCAGGACTACGTGGGACTTACCCACAACAACCTGCAGATCGACAACGTGCCGTGGCGAGTCCGGTGGATCTGTTGGGAAGCCTCCAGGGTCATCCCAGATGGCTGGGAAATCCTGGATCAATGGGGTTTTTGAATGGGAAGATCCTCGAACTAAATGGGTGGATGTTCAATATTGCCATAATTACTAATTACCAGAGGGTATGGGGAAAAGTGGAATCAGTTCATTTGTATAACCATGCTATACACCCAAATTGGCCATTTTACTTGGTAAAATGTGCAAACATTGCACATGGTTTTAGTTATGTACAGGGGGGAAACTTAATGTTGATTGATCCCAGTACCAGCTGGTGACATCATGTATGATCATGATGTCGTCAAGAAGTTTGCTCATCCTATTTAGAATATGTCCCGGATCATTTTAGCAGCATTTGGGTATCGGTCAAAATGACTGGTCCTCAAATGGATGGTTCTATAATGTTCTATAGATTCTAAAGATGACAAACCCTCTGTAGGTTGACACAGGGGTACCCCAATTGTTTGACCCATACCCACAGTACAACTCGAGCTATTCCATTCCATGTGGCTTCCAAACGTTTGAAAAATTGCCAGAATAGATTCAAGTTCAATCCATATCGTGGCTAGAGCCACATTAATTGAGCCATTTTCGCTGGAATATCAAGTAGATGTGGCTATTAATGTGCCATTTTAATTGAAGCATTAATAGCCATCTATCCATATATCAAGTTAGAGCGCCTTTCATTTTCGTTGGGATATCCCATCCTTGGTCCAGTTGGGTTACCTGCAGCCATCTTGGTGAAACGACCAAGGCCTTCTTCTGGCGAAACGTTTCGGGCTCAGATCGGTGGACCAACAATTTCTGTATCCCAATACTTTGGCCCAAAACCTTCGAACGTCAAAACATTTATTCTATTTATTAGATGTAAAAGGTGTGTTGAGATTGAAGTAGGTTTTTTTGTAGGACTTTGCCAATCCTTTGCCAATCTCGGCCAGGAACAGAACGAGGTGGAAGTTGGTTTGTTGGATTGGGGCATCCTGGGTTGTGGACCTCTGAGTGGAGCCATGCAAGGCCGGGATTGGCGGACGCCACAAGTTTGACTTATCCCTTTAGCGGGCTGGGTCACAACCTATGATACCGTGGCGAGGATGAACATCCAGCTAGGCTACGTATATCTATATCAATCGTTTTGGTGTTCACAATTCCAGCAGATCATAGATCTAGATTATCATAGCCAAAATGGATGCAGAATGGTTTTCGATCCTCAAAAGCACCAGCATCTTGCAGGCTCACAAAGGTACCCCATGATTGTTCCGCCCCAGCTTTCGTTTAGGATTTCGGTTGATCTGCCAAATCCTTTTTCACATATCATAAAATCATCAAACAAGCATGATTAGGTGCGTGAAAATCATTGAACATGATGACAGTGATGACAGCCGCAGGCTGCATTTCTGGTGCCTCCACTGAAGTCTTGCTGGAGCCCCCCGGCAGTCGTATGCAGTGGTGGTGAGGGAGCTGTGGGCGACAGGATACACCCCGGTGGATGCAGATGGTCTGAAAATGTTGGGAGAATCCCAGAAAATATCATGGAGAAAATCGTTGTTTCCCGTCAACTTTGCAAGGGGTATCCCCAGTTGTTCGACTTTTTGACACAGGAACGACCATATCGCAAATTTACATGATTCTGAATGGATCTGAGTGTGCAATTATTCTGAATCAGTTATATACGTATATGATATGTATATATACGTATATATATACCTTGATTGATGCATACGTGCTTTCCCAAAACAATAGCGACCTCACAATACCCATATAATTTGGCCAGATGATGTTATATCCATACACTTGCGCATGTTGGGGTCATTTTGTCTTGCGAACGTAGATACGCCGCTACAGTAACTGCCAAGATATATTGCAGGCAAACCACATTATTTGCTGTACTTGTAGATGGCTTTAACAATTTGAAACACTGAACTGATGATGGGTTTGATAATTGATGGCAAGCAAAAGGTGTCATAACCGCTTCCAAGATCTCATAAGAGTGATATTTATGTGGATATACCTCAGTTTCTTTACCAGCAATGTGTATGAGCAGCCACTTTCACTTCATAACTGAAATGTACCTTGGGATCTACCACAGCTTTATACTACCCATGGTATATTTCTGCCATATCCTTTTTCAAATCGATATACCACTAACATCCATCGAATATTGAAACATTGCATTGGAAATCAATCTATAATTTATTCTCTCTTCAGTACATACTCAATATACCAACATCTATTGAAATTATGAATATTTTCATAGCCTAAGCTCCAACAAATTCTTCGGCGCCAGGCACCGAGATGTCTTTCTGAGGGCCTTCATCGACAGCTACGCGGAGAATGGTGGGCCCCGATTGGATCTGGACCGGTTCCTGGGTTCCCCAGTGGTTCCCAGGTGGGTCCCCGGTGGTTCCCCGGTGAGGTGGCTAATTTCAAAAAATAGCAATGCTAGTTGCTACGGAAAATTAGGCTTGGATCCATTCACTTATGATGTTTTTCCATATTATATGTATTTGGGGAGACGCACATCCATATATTATATTATATAGCAGTTATAATCACAACATCATACTTGTATCTACTAATTGGCTTCCGTATCAAGTGACCTGAAGTCGTATCAAGGTTCTGCCTGCTGCTGGGAAAAGAGCGGGGCCAAAGTTGCTGAAATTTTTGGTTTGTAATCCCTTCCCCCTAATATTAAACACCCCCTTAGAAACCATGGTTTAGTAGGGAATTTCCACATTGGGACCATTTATGGGGTGTTTAATATTAGGGTGATGGGATTATTTGTTTTCTTGGTGTGATGCTGATTATCTTGTAAAAGAAAAAGGGAGTCTCGGTCGCCATGTTTGGCGCTTACTCACCCAGTGGTGCCTGGTAGAGTTCCAATATTCTTCGGCAAAAATAATTACTTTACTTCGTGTGATCCCCACCATGACATTTATACATTTTGTTACTGGCAAATCTTCTGGCATTCTATCTGACATATTTTCTGGCATTCTATCTGGCATATCTTCTGGCATTCTACCTGGCATATCTTCTGGCAGATGTTCTGGCATATCTTCTGGCAGATGTTCTGGCATATCTTCTGGCATTCCATCTGGCATTCTATCTGGCATATCTTCTGGCATATTATCTGGCAAATCTTCTGGCATTCCATCTGGCATTCTATCTAGCATATCTTCTGGCATATTATCTGGCAAATCTGCTGGCATTCTATCTGGCAAACATTCTGGCACTTTATCTGGCATATCTTCTGGCATTCTATCTGACATTCTATCTGGCATTCTATCTGGCATACTTCTGGCATTCTATCTGGCATCTTCTGTCATTCTATCTGGCATATCTTCTGGCACTCTATTGGCATATCTTTTGGCGTGGATACTCGCGGTTGAGGTCCGGCAGGGAACACTGGGCGTGTATGGTCGTGGTTGAGGTCCGGCAGGGAACACTGGGCGTGGATGGTCGTGGTTGAGGTCCGGCAGGGAACACTGGGCGTGGATGGTCGTGGTTGAGGTCCGGCAGAGAACACTGTGGATCGCGGGTCGCAGTTGGACGAGGACGACGAGGACGACGAGGACGACGAGGACGACAAGGATGACAAGGAGGACGAGGAGGACGAGGAGGAGAGGAGGAGGAGGAGGACGAGGCAGGAGGAGGCAACTGACATAAAATCTAACAACCCTCACCTGGCAGGTGGGGAAATATACAGTTGGAAAGCAGAGTTTCGCCAGGGGGCATGGCAGGCAGAGGCACCTCAGTCGTGCCTATAGAGTTCCATGCAGGAACACATGTTTCTACAACACTAGGTTCGCCTTTCGACTCCCACACTAAGACGCAAAACTACAGAGAGAAAAAGAGGAAGAAAAAGACGTTCAAAATCGGTAACATCAGTTTCCATGGATATGGACAACCGTGTGGATTCGTGATTGAAAGCTGTTGGCATGATCATGGTGCCCATCACTAAGACATGGGGATTTGTGTTTGTTCCAAAGATGAGAGTCCTTGAATGCCCTGTGTCATGGTAATTCCGTATTATGTCCTATGAAAACATACATTGAAAATATGTTATTTCAGGTTGCTTCATGTCTTTCTTCATTTTCTGATATATAGACTGTTCCCTGAAAGGCCGGTGTGACATGAGGAGACTTTGATGTGACTTCTTCCAACTCGCTGTGACATGGGGTTGATGTGATTTCTGCCCACTTCATGTGATTTAAACTCGTCGCTAGTATTTGTATGTTGGTATTATAATACTGGTTATTATGGTTTATCAACATATGCATCCTATGATTTCTCAACATCAAATTATAACTAGCATTTTTCCATGGATACCAAACTTTGGGTCTCTTGATCCATGGTCCATGGCCACCACAAATGGGTCTGGAAAACATATCAAAATGTAAAGAATAAAGATGTACTGTATTTGATGATTTGACATCTTTAATGACTTTAATGGGTTTCTTGATATGTATATGGGGCAGATGAGTTGGCACCACTCTGCTTTCATCCGGAAAAACTATGGGTTTCTTTGGAATTTTGGTATACCCCAAGAATTTCATAGCAGCATTTTCCCCATATCAACATTGCCCATTTGGAGCCGGTAACCTGCGCCAGGAGCGCTTCAAAACGATGTCCAATCTGCAGATGTTGATGTGGTCAATGAACATCACCAGCACCTCGGCTCCAGAGGGGGAGGGCATTAATTCTTTAAGGGATGTTTTAAAATGTGGTACACCCCCAAAAAATGTATCTGGAGATTGTACACCCTCCACTTTCTAGGTTGAAACTGTGGTGAACTGCAGAAATTCGACCTATGAAATATTGAGGTGCTAGCTACATGGATGAAGATAAACAGGTCCAAGTGGTAGTACAGGGCCATACCCAAAGAGGTTAAGAGGGAATGCCAATCGTTAGTGTGCTGCTGAAGTTTTGGGTGCTTCAGAACTACTCTATCAGTTGATGTTGGATGCAACTACTCTATCAGCCTGGACCTTCCAAAGTACAGAAAATTCTGTACGATTGGGATTTCTGCACTTTTGGGCCGGTTGAAACGTTTAATCTTAAATGTAAACGGTTTCAACAAAAAGTGAACTCTTTACAGCAGTTCTGACTGCCACCTTAGATATGGCACGGGTGGTTAAAATATCTTGCCGCAATGGGTCCCTCATAATGCACCGATTCGAATTTGGTGATAATGATTTAATGTCCCCCAAAGATTCAAAGCCTCAAACATGCAGGAATACTAAGCTATATTTGAAAATAGTTAGTTTGAAGCATGCTTAGTTTGCAGAAATAACAGTTTTCATTCCAACAAGCTGCGATTTGATGCGATTTGTCACATGCATGAACCGCAGCAGTTAAGAAATCCCGATTTGCGTACTTTTGCGGATATTTGCGTATTTTTGCGGGAAATTTGCGTACTTTTTGCGGGAAAACTGTCGACATTTTTGTTGAATTCAGAGCAGTTTTGGAACTTCCTGCAGGCATTTCTTCAAAAAAAACATGGGCGTTCTGTTTTTTTACAAATTCAGACAAAAACAGTCTGTTTCAATGTCTATAGCGGTCTGGTGTCTCCCATCCAGCAAAGATTGCTTTTAGCGTGGCACCACAGCCTTCTTTGAGCAACTTAGTTGTTTTGTCATATTCTTCACCAATCTTCACCAACCGGTAGATTTGTTTTTCTTTCCGTTTGCTAAGCAGGTCCACTTTGTTTGTCAACATGCAGAAACTCCCATCTAGCATGCCAAGATACGTCAAGTCAGCTTCATTCTTGCAATTTCATGTTGTTCTAGTGTGTTTCTGAACGGTTGGTCCAATTTGAACTATTTGCGGCATTTGCGTTTTTTTGCGGTCATTTGCGGCCAAAAGCCCAAAAGTACAGAAATTAAATTATTGAATTTTGGAAGGTTTAGGAGTGTATTTACAAAATGAAATTGGACATCTTCATGTGCAGGTTTTCTCAATAAGAGATCACATTTCAGGGAGGATATTGTCCACATCCCTTCGGAAGAAACAAAACAATGTGAAATTCGCACTTCCAACCGCATTCAGTGTGACCTTACCCAAAGAGTTTGAAGAATTTTATCCAAATTTTCCATGGTCACTCCCCCAATTTTAAGAACTAATTAACTAATATCTAGTTCATCCAATTTGTTATGCAACCAAATCCCAACAAAATCCTTCAAAATCCCGAATTTGACGTCGCCCCTGGCTGAAAGTCGCATCGCACTGAGGCAATGTGTCGCAGGTGTTGAAGTTCACCAGACCAACGGAATGGGCCGAGATCAAAGATTGGATGGATCCAAGGTGCCGCCGGATGTTTGGATCAGTCAAAACGGAGGTGTATCAATATCATCCCAATGACATGATCGCTACACAGAAGTCATTGGTTTTCTATGGTTTTCTCATACCTTTCAAAAGTGGAACCTCCTGACGAATATCAGGCCTTTCACCCCAAACTGTGGAGCCGAACAAGTCCAAAAACCGGGCGGTCAGGTTATTGGATCGTTTCCAGACCCGAGCCCACACCACGCAGTTTAAAGAAGCCTTGTTGCTCGGACAGGTTGGGATGGGTGGAATTCTCACTTCTAAGTGGCTAACAAGCTGAAGATTACCATTACCATAGATCTTAAAACAACATGATCATCAGCCATAATTATGGCATATTGTGGTATATGGCATATTATGGATGTGATTCTACAGGAATCCTTGCAAAAGACGTCGGAACTTCAGAGACCTGGAATGCGACCACGGCATGTCGTCACCAAGGCAGCTCTACAAGAAGTGGAACCTCTATGGCGTTTTCCAGAAATGGAGGCAGGAAAATGGCCTCCCCAAAAAGGGATGACAAAGGGATGACCAACTGCTCACCAGATGCACCAGTTTTCCGCAGGGAACCCGTGACGGGACAATGCTCCCCGTCAGAAACGCAGGATCTTTTGCGTGCCGCCGCATGCTCCGCAGCTGGCGCAAGAAGTTGCAGCAAATCTGTTGGGTGTGGAGAATACGATTCATGGAGTCACAACCGATCGGGCAAAAACCCTCAAAAAATGTGGGAAAACAAAAAAAAAACTGTTGAGGTCACATACCACCCCAAGTCAGGTGGCAGATAGGCCCCTTCCAGCCCCAGTGCTTTGCAATGCTTCGCGCTTTGCGCCGAAACTGCTGGAGCTGCTGTGCCGGCGGAACTTTTTGGTGCTTCAGCATGTACAACTCATTGCTGAAGCTACAGCTGATGGGAGGCTGCAACTGGAGCCAATGCCCTCCCCGGATAGATTTAACTCTCCAGTAAATGAACAAAACAATATGGAAAACTCGTGGTGAAACATGGTGAAAGCCTAGGATAATGATTTACAAATGGTGGGTTTTCCACATCTATGTTAAATTGTATGTGCGGTTTGGGAAACATGCACAGAGTACCACTGCACCCCCACTAAGGTCTTTTTAAGTTTTCACAGTCGTTGAGACGTCCTCCGACTGTTGCAACTTGGCTCAAGATCACCGAGCCCAATCTGGAGTGAAAAGGTGTACCTGCATCAACCTCTTGGTGGGGTTCTCCGGGAAGGGTCTCGGTTGTAGTTTGAAACCCGTGGGTTATGAGCCCAACCCCAACGCTGCCTTGAAGCAATGTCGAGCAGCGACTTCACTCAGCGTCGTCGGCAAGAACGCCAAGTTCAAGCGGCTGCTCATGCTGAAGAAGTACAACATGGGACCCATGGACATGGAAAAGAAGAACGCGCGGAAACGGCAGACCAAATGCTGGATCGGCTTCTGGAGGAGATGGACACACCTGGACAAGCACATGGGGAAAGAACAGGGACAAGATCATCAGACTCAACCCGAAGATCACTGATGGAAGGGGAAGTTGGAGAAAGTGTGATGGCACTGACCGGTGCTGGGGGAAGTGGAGCCCTAGTGCAGGTTGCGGCGGTCCGGGCTGGAGCGGGCGAACGAATCGCCCAGAATCCGGCTGTTGCGGAAGAAGTCGCAAGACCAGTGTCCTTACCACCTGAAGAACCTCCTGGACTTGAAGTGGTACGAGGAAATGGGAGTGGCGGTCTGTTATCTGGTTTGACCCCAGGGGTGAATAGTCTAACTCTTTCGGGAGTGCCTATGAAACAAACACCAGTAGTTGCCCGGATGTCTGAGGGATTTCGTGAACCACCTGTTGTGGGTAATCGAGAAGAAGGACAGGGTGGAAAACACCAAAGCTCAACTGAAGTGGGTGGAGGTGCGGCTGCTGTTGTGGAAAACGTTGCTCTTTTGGAGCGACCGGGACGTTCACCTGATGAGTCTCCTGAAGATGCACGCGTTAAACAATCGGTGCCAGCGGCACCAACAGGCTCACCTATGATCTACCAGCCGGCGGGAGCACCTGTGGTGTATACTGCAACTGGTGGAACACAGGGTTCGCAAGTAGCTGGGATGTCCCAGCAATCCATGTGTGCTGGAGTGCCACCTACGGGAATGGTGCCTCAGTGGGGAACGGCGGTTGTGGATCCGGGGATGGTAACCGGGGTCATGGCTGCAGAAGAAACGAACCCATGGAGTGCTGCCAAGCGAGTGGAAGCTTTAATGAGCAGTCCACAAACTCCAGTGAGGGAGCTGACTTATCCCACAGTGTCGCAAGACCTGATTGATCGGGCGGACGCAAGGGAGAAAGAGAAGTATGAAGAGTTGAAACAACGAGCGATGGAATTCATCCAGCGGGGCAAGACTGAGATCCAACAAGATCGAGAAAATTGGTTAGCCACGCGGGAAGAGAAACGTGCCCTGGAACGGGTCCAAGAAACAGGAGGAGGTCACAAGGGCTCTCAGTCGAGTGGGGGGTCTTATCAAACCGCCTCTCCGGAGCAGAACATCGGGCAGTGTTTTCCTGTAGGGCCACCTCAAGGTGTCCCACCCCAAGGACAACATGTGCTAGATCAGGCAGTTCCGGGAGTTCAACATCATCATGATCAAGATCTTCAATTGAAGGCGGGAGGTCCGATGTGGCATGCGCCTCCTGCGCCCAGGGTCGAACAAGGTCTTCGGCCGATGGATGTGTATATGATTCAAGGGTGGATGAATGGAATGCCGCAGGGAGCGGCGCCGAGACCACCAATGGGAGCTCCCTGCATGGGAGCCATGGAAAACACAAGACCCTGTTTTATGGGTGAACAACCCAATCAATGGTATAATCCTCAAGCCCAAGTTGGAGGAGCACCTGCAGGACAAGATCATCGACTTCATGGAGGTTTTGCATTTCCGGGTGGAAACACCGGACCTATGGGTGGTTGTGGTTGGCCGGGGGGTCCGCCGCCAGGGCAGTATGGAAATCCGGGACAAGCACCTGGTCCGCCAGGTGGTCATCAAGGAAATCCAGGACGAGCTGTACCGCCACAACAACAACAACAACAACAGCAAGTTGCAGTCCAAGCAGGACCTCAGGCAGGGGGAGAAATACCAGGCGAGACTTTAAGATCGGTCGAATTGCCAAAGCTGGACAGAAACGCAACATCTTTGGACTTTGGAGACTGGCTGGCAGTTGTCCAGCAGATGATCGGGGATGTGAGCTACACCTCGGCACAGTGGTGGGGGGTAGCTATGACTGCTGTGGAACAGACATACCATCACTGGCTGCAAGCGGATCCACTTATGAGGCTTCGGATGGCGCCGGTGATACCTGACATGGCCCGTGGGTGGCCTCGCACAGAGAACCGAGTGGTGGGCATGCTGCTTCAAGCCGTCCCGAAGGACATCTACGAAGACATTGTGGCGAACAGACAATTGTCGGCAGGTCAAGTCATGTTCAAGCTGCACACCATCTTCCAACCGGGAGGACAAGTGGAAAGAACTGCCCTGCTGCAAATGTTGGTGGACTGGAAATGTCCATCTAATAATGCTGCAGAGATGGTCAACTCCATCCGGAAATGGAGAAGGTGGGTGGTTCGTGCCGAAGAACTTCAATTGGTTTTGCCCGATCCTCTGGTTTTGGCCGGAGTGGTCGCAAAAATGAGTGATGCCTTGGCCAGGTTGGGGGGAGCTCAAGCTGCCTACCGGTTGTCTTCGGTGAGACAGCATTTGGGCATAGATCTCCGGCCGGGAATGCAAGAGATCCGAACGTTTTCGGAACTTCTTCGAGCGGAAGCTAGTGAAATGGCTCTCCGTCAACCGGGGAACACAACACAGGGTCCAACGACTAAGCCCAACAATGCAGTGGGGGTGAAGTCTATGAGTGGACCGGATTCATCTGGAAGTCCACCAAAGGGAGCTTCGAAGGGAAAACCAGAAGACGCAGCAGGTTCTTCCACCGGAAGGAGGGGGGAGAAGCCCGAGCTGCCGATTAACGCCGCTAATGTGGTCCATAAGGTGGCGTGCGTCAACTGGCTGACTGAGAAGGGATGCCAATATGCAGAACGATGCCGGTTTATGCACACCGTTTTGGACTCCAAAGATGGCCGATGTTTCAACTGTTCTGGAAAAGGACACTCCCGACGTGATTGTCCGGCGGGAAAACGAAGTGAGTCACGAGGTCCACAAGGTGGATCTGAAGAACCAAAGGTGGCCAAAACCACTAGAATCTGCTCAAGATCTCAAGAGAGGAAGAATGGTCCTGGAAAAGAAGGAGGTGCTGCTCAAGAACGTCCTGAACCTGTCGTGAAGATCAACCCGATGGATGAATCCACGGTCACTATTACTCCTGTACCAGAGAAGTCCGAAAAGGTTGTAGGAGAAGTCACCAGCCTTTTGAAGGGTCTCAATGGACCGGTCTTGAAATCGGTGGGGCATGGTGGGGATCATCTCGAAGTTGAATTTGATAATGGAACGGGTTTATTGGATGGTGGGGCGACACACCCCTTGAGACAGGGATCAACCGAGGAGATCAAGAACGCGGTGCAGGTCACTGTGGAACTCGCACATGGAGCTGCTCAGCTCTATCAAAATCCTGTGAATGGAACCCTCCTGTCGGAGGGACCGGTGGAACCAATTGTACCTCTTCGAGGTTTGGTGGAATTACTATAGAGCCGCTTTGGCACTTAGGAACTTAGCTGGCCGTTAGGTGGCACTTAGGAAACTTAGGTTTGATGGTGTTCTAAGTGGGAGCTAAGTGGCTGCTAAGTGAGCTAAGTGTTTCCTAGGGATTTTTTGCAATGCTTATCATTTTTGAAAACATGGATGTTGACATGGTCTTGGGGTGTTCTCCGCCCGTCAAATTTGCTTTTTTGGCTGCTTCCTGATGTCGTGGATTAACGTAAAAGCCAAAGACCGTCTTGATCTTGGCGGCGCAAACGCATACGCTCCTCGTGCATCAAAGTAGAAGCTGCAAGGATTGTCTTTGCGCCAGATAGGCGCTTCCATTTGATAATGATTCTTTGCAAGAAAGGATTGCAATTTTCGCACCGCGACGTAGAAGCCATGTGCATTTGACAGACCATGTAAGATTTCTATGCAAAACGTAGCTGACATTTGGACGAAGCTACCACGTAGGTATTCGACGCAATAGATTTGGATGCCTTTGGCAAAGAAGCTTTCAGGAGATATTCCGAGCTCCATTGCTAGCACCACGTCTTGCGTGGGCTTCCATATGAGTTGTCCAGTGTACTCACTTTCGAGGTGACTCGTAGTGAGTTCCGTTTCTGTCATTTGCAGCAGCGTGCTCCGGGTGAAGCAATTCAGCCGTGTCAGGCGCCGAGCCACAATGGACTTAAATATACGATGCTTGCGTTCCCCAGCAAAGCAATCAATGTCTCGCCGCCATCTGTGAATTTGTTCTTGGACATGGAGCGCATAGTGAAACTTGGGTCTTGCCCCCGCTATCGCCCCGTAGGCGATGTCCCATGCACCTTTGATTTTTTCTCACTTTTT